GAGTGCGCTCTATAGGGCCTGCGGCAAGACATGGACGTTTTTATCAGAGAGATGGCGGCGTGGGAGGCGCAGGTGTTGCGGCAATGTTGCGTGTGGGCGAGCACGCGTGACGGAAGCTGCGACGAGGGTGCCTGTGGAGATGATCACAAGAAGCATGGTGAGTCGTGAGCATGGTGGTTGTTCTAGTTTTTGCAGCATGGCTGAGGAGCAGAGGAGGTGATGCGCCATTGCTGTGGAGGAGCAACATGGTGTGCATGCAAAGTTGCTCGTGTGAATGCATGACCCAGCAGTAGCAAGGCGTGCTACGTGATGCAGCAAGCAGCAGGAGCAGCGTGCAGTGTCAGCGGCATTATTTTAGGCGGGTAGAGCGGCATTAAATTGGGCATGTAGCCAGCAAGAACCAGTCAAGCATATGTGTGAAAGGAAGAAGAAAAAAAGAGGAACATGTGTATGCATGGTTGTTGAGTCAAAGGCTGCCGCTGCTGGTGTGCTATGCGCCGAGTGTGCTCTCGTGAGCTGCTGTGCAAGTGGCAGGCTGCTGAGCAAGTGCATGCGGTGCAGTAGCAAGCAGCAGGAGGGAGAGGGTGTGGTGCATTCAATTGAACAGCAAGGAGTGCAGCAAGCAAGCAGCTTGGTGGTGTGTGAAAAGGAGAAAAATTGTGCATATGCATGCAGCCACCAGGCCAAATCCGTCAATAGTATGTGTCAGGGAGCGTGCATATATTGGCCTGTTTTTTCATTCACACACAATGAGCTAGGGAGTGCAGGCACATCTGGCAAGGCTAGGAGCTGCAAAGCTGCAACAGGTCTTGGAAGTCAAGGTGTCTAGGACGGGTAGCAGCGGAGTAACCCAGTAGTTTGTTGGGAGCCGAGTCCATAAAATTGGCTGTTTTCGCAATGGTGTGCAGAGGAGAAACCTTGCATTGCACGCCAGAACATAACTCGAGGACAGCAAAAACCAGAGAGCTAGACTAGCCAAAGATATTTGGTAGTGAGAGCTGGAGTAGGTGGTTTGCTCGGGTGGCGGTGTAGGTGAGAGCTAGTAGGCACAGCTTGGAGGTGGCCAGGAGTGCTCGGAGGTGATCATTAGCGAGCAGTCTAGCGACTGACGAGGAGACGTCGTTGGAGCAGATGCCGGGAAGGCGATCTCGGAGAAGGACGGTTCATCTGAGCCTGCTTGTTGTCAAGGCGGACGAATCGGGTGGTGAGATCGTCAAGAGATCGATCAAACCGTTGGTTGGCAAGATGGCGCCGACAGGTACCAGATTTGAGGTGGAGAAGCTCGATGGCAGCGGCAACTTTGCTCTGTGGCAAACAAGGGTCAAGGATTTGCTGGCTCAGCAAAGGGTTCTGAAGGGTTTGCAGGAGAAGAAGCCGGGCAAGATGGAGGATGAAGACTGAGAGGAGATGCAGTTGCAAGTAGCCGCAACCATGCATACAGCTCTGTGTTACGATCAGGTCATGTTCCATGTCATGGATTTAACCAAACCAAAGGAAATATGGGACAAGCTGGCCATTTAGTACATGTCCAGGACACTGACCACCAAGTTGTATCTGAAGCAGAAGTTGTATGGGCTGAAGATGGCAAGAGGGGTCGGATCTCGTGGAGCACTTGAATGTCTTCAATCAGTTGGTTGTTGATCTGGCACATAGAGAGGTAACTGTTGATGATGAAGATAAGGCAATAATTCTTTTGTGCTCTTTACCACCATCCTATGAGCATGTGGTTACTACACTGACATATGGCAAGGAAACAATCAAGATTGAGGATATTACTACAACGTTGATTGCTCGAGAACAGAGGAGGAAGAACAATGCAGTGGAAGCACCTCAAGTTGAAGGTTTGCTAGCCAGTGGGGAATCTAGCAGGAGGAAGGTGGAGGCCAAGAGCAAGAGAAAGAAGGTGCGGTGTTTCAAGTGTGGAGAGTGGGGACATGTCAAGAAGGAGTGTCCAGGAAAGAAGGAGGCAAGTGCTAATGTTGCAATTTCAGTGGGTGACTCTGACAATGACAGTAATCTTCTCTCGTCGGTTTAGAGGAGATGGGCATTTGCAGTTGTACAAGTTGCAAGGACGCATGGGTATATGTGGAGTCACTGGCCCTGTTCGCTTCTCTTATAATCCGTCTTTTTCAGCTTGTTTTTCAACCGGAACAGTATTTTTCTCTCACAACAAATCAACCGGAACAATATTTTGGCTTATTTTTTCAGCGAAACGAACGGGGCCACTGGGATGAAGTTGCAAGGATAGTGGGGTTTCTTGAGGCGGCGGGTTTGAGACCAAGCCAAACTCGTCGGGCTGCTCTTCGTGAAGTGGCGAAGTCGACAACTCGAGTCTGGAGTACATGGTTGTTCGCAAATGACAAGACTATCAAGGTGGCGAAATATTCACCAAGGTGGAGATTGTTATAAATGTATCGAATATTTATTTGTATTAATGGTAGTTATAGTGGACTTGTGTTGTAATTAGCAGTATAGAGTTAGATGAGTTTGGTGTTGGCTCTTGTAACCTGGCTCCTCTATAAAAGGAGGAGGGTGCTGCACTTGTAACCCACCACTTGAGAGTAGCAACACAAAGGTGATAGGCTCGCGAGGGGTGCTGGGCGCCACGGGCGGCCCGTGGTTTCGGGGAGGAGCGCCCGTAAGCATGCCCCGAGGACATAGGCTTCGGCCGAACCTCATTACCAAATATCGTGTCTTCTGTGTGGTGTGTGCAATCTCTCATGAGCATCTTGCCTAGGTAGATCGAAGCAATTGCTTCGGCATTAGACGCCGATAGCACAACAGTCTTACTAAGTGGAATTTATTAACGTCGACTTTGGAGTCAACTTAAGTATTGTGATGGCAAGAAAGAATGCATCGCCTTTTCTTGTCGTATGTTAGAGTTGGTGGCAATGGTCTTCTTCGTCTCCATGGGTGGCCTTATATATTTAGGATTACAAAGTAATTTTATTTGGCTTCTGAGACCGTTATTGTTTTAAGTATTTGTGTCCTGTAATAATTTTGGTATGATTCCTCACTTGTGGGGATGAAGCCCGATATTATTCCATTATCTAAAACAAGGATCATGTGGCGCGTAAATTTTCAAGTCGCCACCTAATGCTGAGCAGTGAGCACGGTTTAGCCAAGCTTTTGTTGGCTCTGGCTCCGGATGCACTATTGAGCATAGTTGAACACAAGTACTGTAGCACTAGCACTAAATGGCTTCTGCTTCTACGGATTAATACAAGGAGACTCCGGCTCCTGCTATAGTATTGCTGTAGTTGACAAGACAAAACTGGACCTAAGCTTGTTGCTTCCACTCATTCCATCTTGGCAGCTACATTATTTGTATCTTATTTGCTTGGTTAGTGCCAGAGTGTGATGCTTAGTTACTTTTTTTTTAAATGACCATTGGATGAGGGATATGAGAGGAAATGTCACTATACAGTTGCTCCTGTAGTATATTGACCTCTGGGCAAGGATATAGTTTGTTGTCCCTGTATGGAGAGAACAGAGAGGACTGCAGATTTCACTCATGTAAGCTACAGTGTTTCTAATTCATGTACAGGGGATATTACAAATGGAACCCACAACCTTTTCGATTTCAGTTGACAGACAAAAACAAAGTCAACGACTTTGGTTGATAATCTACAATGGGCCGGGTCAATCATGGCAGAAATTCCGCCAGCAAGAACAACACGCTACTGCACTAGCTCCGGAATGAGCCTCAGGAGGAAGGACATCTCCCGCGGCGAGAAGCTCGGCGTCCCTGCCACCGCCCCGGCAGCCATCTCCATCCTCTCGCCCACCACGATGCCGCCGCCGTCCTGGGAGCCGGACTCGTGCACTGCCGCCGTGACCGTGAACGTCGACACGGCCTCGGCGACCTCCTGCACCAGGTCGACGATGACGCCGTCCACCCCCATCAGGTGCTGCACGTACACAACCTCCGGCACGTTGCTGCGAGACCGGCACACACAAAGCAAAAACAGCGAGCACGCGTTCAGTTCCCCATCACGGGCTGCAGCAGGCTGTGGGCAAACAGTGAAGAGAACAGTGATCGATCACTCACTTGAGCTGGCCGTAGGTCATCAGTGACAGCTTGTTGGCCTCCTTGATCTTGGCCACCGCCGACGGCTGCGCCTGAGTATCGCGCGGACCTCCGACACGATCCCCTGCAGCCCGCCGGCGATGCAAACGGCCTCCTCCAGCGAGTTCCGACGCGGGTCGGCGTACACCTGCGTCCCTCCGTTTGTCAGAAAGAACACCTGTTCGTAGCAGGGTAGGTCCCATCAGTCAATATTGAGTGTTTACTGTTCACGGTCCGAAAACTTCAGGGTTGTGGCAGTGACACTTACGGGGCATTTGTCTTGCAGCTTGCGGATGAGCTGCGCGGCGTCGGGCTGGAAGCTGGAGAAGATGATGGGCCTGTCGTCGGCGTGCTCGAAGACAACCTGAACAACAAGTAATAGAGCAATCAGTAGGCATTCTCTTCAGAGATGTTACCGAAGGAATCAAGGAAAGCTGCTTGGGCCTCTTTAGCGTTGCCACGTGCCTTGAGGACGGCTTGTAGGATGCAGGTCAGCCTCTCCTCCGTGTAGACGAGGTCGTCGTCGAACTTGAGCTCGACGTTGAAGCCGACACGGCGGTGGACACCCTGGAAGACCTCACGCAGCGTGCACAGCGCGTCCTCGGACCGCACGTCCCACTTGAGGATCCTCCCGTCCTTGACTTTCCGGAGCAGCGGCTTGCCGACCTGAGAATGTTGATGAAAGAGGCAACCCCGTTACATTTTGAAGAATGAAAGGCCTGAGATTGTTTAGCGAGCGTACCTTCCGCTGCTCTCTTTGGGGCCCGTAGGAGAGGAACTCGTCCAGATCAAGGTCGGTGACACGCTTCCCTGAGATTTCGCCCTGAATGACATTACAATATTTGAGCATGACGATTGTGAGACGATGTTTATATATGCGAGATGCTTAATTTGTGGTTGGACAGTTGAACAGAGCTATTGATAAACTTACTTCTTGTTGGGTGTAGATGAAGTTGTCATGGAAGATGACAGGGCAGCCGTCCTTTGTCACCTGCAAGATTCATGGCCATGGTTAGAGCGCTTGCTTGCTCGTTCTCAGTTGCAGTTGCAGAGGCAGAAATAAGAGGGTTTAATTAAGAGAACCTTTACTTTCTCCACATTCATACAAGTTTTTTCTTACCCGCAAACAGAGTTTTTTTGCTTTATGTATAGGTAGGCAATTTGAAAGTCAAAATCCAATTATAACGTGACTCTAGGTTCATGCGGACGGACCCACAAGGCAGGCTTTCTGAGCGAGGGATATTTTTTTTAATAATAATAAGGTCGGGTGCTCTAGAATGGAACGGAGGAGGAGAGGAATTCCACCATCCCCGTGATGTTTCTGGACGATGGACGCTGCTTGGACCGCACCACGCGTCAAGCAAGCGGTCTTCCCTTGCTGGGCCCCCGGTCCAGGAACTAGCAGGCAGTACAAACCTTTTTCCTAATCGGGCCTAAGGGCCAGAAGACGACAGTGACGTGCCGTGCCGTCGCTCACGAACGCCGACGCCACACACACAGAGGTGGCGCACGCCGGTGATCGAGTGAATGCATTGCCGGCATTCTCAATTTTCTTTGTTTGATGTCCATGATGATTTATTACCTGGACGTCGAACTCGACGTAGGCGACGGCGGGGTGGCTGGCGGCGGCGTCGTTGAAGGCGCGGAGTGTGTTCTCCCTGACGTCCCCGCGCAGCCGCGGGTCCGGCGACGCCAGCGCGTTCATCCCCTTGCCGCGGTGCCCTATCACCACCAGCGGCGGCCGGCGTCCCTCGGCCGTCGTCGTCGTCGCCTCCGCCCCGCACGTCGTACCTCTGATGCACGAGCACGACGACGCGGCGGAGGCCGCTAGGCCGTCGAGGTCCGCGGCGATGTCCGGCTCCGGCATGGCGGGCGGGACGACGTCGGTGGCGCGCGCGGCCTTGAGCTTAGCCATGTCTCTGCTGTGCTGTGCGTGGCTCCGACGACGATCCGCGGCTCCCCCGGCAGCCGCGCCGGCGATCGATGCAGAGTCGGCGGGTCAGACGACGATGGAGCTAGCGATGAAGAGAAGGATTAATTATCAGCGCTGGCTAACGGCCAAATTATATATGTCCAGCTGTATATTTGTATGTAATGCGCGCGCGGATTTGCTAATTTGCGGAGGCGACGAGCGAGAACGCTAGCTATTTATTTATACACAAGTCCCCTCCCTCTCTTTGTGTCATCGCGTGTTGTGCGCGCGAGATACATACACCACGATGAAAGAGTGCGGGGAATTGAGAACAGCCCGGCCCTGGAGGGGGGCGAGCGGGGCAGCCGCTCTAGGCCCCTGGGACCAAGGGCCTCCGATACTAGTACATGTAGTGACGTAGGTAGCAATATACTTGTTATATAGTATGTATTATTAGTTACTAGTATATATTTGTTGTAGCTTCTAGTATATATTTGTTGTATGTATTATTAGTTACTAGTATATATTCTCGGAAAGCGAAAATGACAGACATTTAGGGATAGATGGAGTAATTATTAGTTATAATTCATTGTCAATTGGCCATTTGGGCCTGGCAAACGGCCCCTCAACGAGGAAGAAGACTGCAGGTATAAACTGAGAGCTTGTGCCTTTCCAATTGCATTAGTAATCGTTTCATTTCTCTTTTTAAAATTTCAGCATTGTTTCTTTTCTTCCAATTGCAATTAGTTTATTCATACCAAATTTCGGCAGTGAGAAAATAAAGAGAAATCAAGTCGATGAATTGTTGCAGTCATAGAGAGTATCAAATGATAAATTCTTTAAAAGTCATATAAGCACATCAAGTTGATGAATGGCTGCGGTAGCAGCCTTCCAGGAGGAGGCCGCACCTCAGGAGTTTGTTCCTGCCACCGTACAGGAGCCCGCAGCCCAGCCCACCATCTCTCTGTATGCCATCGCGGGCATCCGGACTGAGAATGCCATGCTCCACCCGGTCCATGTTCATGGCCATCGTCTCGTGGCGCTCCTCGACTCGGGCTCGACGCATAACTTCATCAACGCCGACCTCATGTGCCGCCTACGCCTCTCCACCACGCCACATCCTTCCATGCAGGTGCTGGTGGCTAACGGGGACCGTGTGCCGTGCGAAGGGGTCGCCCGTGACGTCACTCTCGCCATTGGTGGGGAGGAGTTTACCATCAGCTACTTCGGCATCAACCTCGGGGGGTTCGATCTCATCCTCGGCGTCGAGTACCTCTGCACCTTAGGTCCTATTCTCTGCGACTTCGAGGATCTGTGCATGGCATTCACCCGCGGCAGTCGGTGGAAGGGCATTAGCTCTCCCCGTGACGACATTCGGGAGCCAGCCACGTGGGCGGTCACGGCTGCCCCATCACAGCCCCTGCTGGACTGCCTCCTCCACCAGTTTGGGCTGGTCTTCGACGAGCCGCAGGGGCTGCCACCGGCACGGCCATATGATCACTGCATCCACCTACTTCTGGGCACAGCACCGGTCGCGGTTCATCCCTACTGCTACCCATAGCTACAGAAGGACGAGCTAGAATGACAGTGTGCAGCCATGCTTGTCCAAGGCATCATCAAACCGAGCACGTCCCCATTCTCTGCCCCCGTGCTGTTGGTGTGCAAGGCGGATAACTCTTGGTGTTTCTGCATCGACTACCGCGCTCTCAATGCCAAGACATCTAAAGACAAGTTCCTGATCCTGGTGGTTGATGAGCTCCTTGATGAACTGCATGGCGCCAGGTTTTTCACCAAGCTCGACTTGCGCTCAGGCTACCATCAGGTGCGGATGCATCCTGACGACGTCGCCAAAACGGCGTTCCGCACACACCACAGACACTTTGAGTTTCTGGTGATGCCATTCATTCTCTCCAATGCTCCGGCAACGTTCCAGGCCCTGATGAATGACATGCTTAGCCCCTTCCTCCGCAGGTTCATGCTGGTGTTCTTCGACGACATCCTCATTTTTAACTCTTCGTGGGCAGAGCACTTGCAGCATATCCGCATCGTCCTCGACGCGTTACAGGCGCACCGGCTCCACCTCAAGCGCTCCAAATGCTCATTTGGGGCCTCCTCGGTGGCGTACCTCGGCCATGTGATTTCATCGGGTGGTGTCGCCATGGAGGCCGACAAGGTGGCCGCTGTGGCGTCGTGGCCAACCCCACGGTCAACCCGTGGACTGCATGGCTTCCTAGGCCTCGCCGGCTATTATCGGAAGTACATCCACGACTTTGGCATCATCGCAGCCCCGCTGACATGCCTCCTGCGCAAGGATGCGTTCGCTTGGTCCGATGAGGCGGACACGGCGTTCCAGGCGCTCAAACGGGCTCTATCTACAGGCCCTGTACTCCAGATGCCTGACTTCGCAAAGCAGTTCACCGTGGACTGTGATTCGTCCGGCGCTGGGTTCGGCGCGGTTGTCCACCAGGACGCCAGGCCGCTCATCTTCTTCAGCCAGCCGTTCGCTGCACGTCATCTCAAGCTCGTGGCTTATGATAGTGAGCTGATCAGGCTCGTCTATGCCATCCGCCATTGGCAGCCATACCTATGGGGGCGTCACTTTTTGGTCCGCATGGATCATTATAGCCTCAAGTTCTTGCTGGACCAATGCCTCTCCACTGTGCCGCAGCACCAATGGATCAGTAAGCTGTTTGGGTTCGACTTCACCGTGGAATATCGCCCCTTATGGCTTAACACTGTGGCGGATGCTCTGTCCCGCCGCGACGTCGAGGATGGTGCTGCTTTAGGGGTGGCTGTGCACTTGCTGTCCACGCCGACATTCGCCCTCCTCGACGACATCCGCGCGGCTACAGCAGTAGTCGAGGACTTTCAGCTTCTCCTTCAGTGCCTCCAGGAAGGCGTGCTGGCCGCACCCTGGCACGTCAATGATGGTCTCCTGCTCCACGGTGCTCGCATATTCATGCCATCTTATGATGACCTACGCCACTAGGTGCTCCTCCTGGCTCACTCGGCGGGCCTTGAGGGAGTCCAGAAGATGCTCCATCGCCTGCGCTCGGACTTCTACATCCCGGGCGACCGTGCTCTTGTCAAAGACTTCGTGCGGGCGTGCGCCGTGTGTCAGCGGAACAAGATGGAGTCCTGGAGCCCACCGGATTATTGCAGCCCCTCGACGTTCCGTCCCAGGTTTGGGCGGACATCTCGATGGATTTTATCGAGGGCCTGCCCAAGGTCAGAGGCAAATCCGTCATTCTCACGGTGGTCGACAGATTCTCCATGTACGTACACTTCATCGCCCTCGGCCATCCCTACTCTGCTGCCTCGGTTGCACGTGCATTCTTCGATAGCATTGTTTGTTTGCATGGGTTCGCTTCTTCCATCGTCAGTGACTGGGACCCGGTTTTCACTAGTCATGTGTGGCGTGACCTCTTCAAGATGGCCAGCGTCACGCTCCGCATGAGCACGGCCTTCCACCCGTAGACAGACGGTCAGTCTGAGGTGGTCAATAAGGTCATCGCAATGTATCTTCGGTGTGTCATAGGTGACCGGCCGTGAGCGTGGGTGGACTGGCTGCCCTGGGCGGAATACTGCTACAACACCTCCTTCCACACGGCACTGCGCGCCACACCTTTTGAGGTGGTCTATGGCTGGCCACCACCGGCCATCTTGTCCTACACGGCCGGGTCAGCCAGAACGAACACTGTGGATGGCCTTCTTCGGGAGTGCGACGAGGTGCTCGCGGAGATTCGGGAAAGGCTTCTCCAAGCACAGCAGCTGTCCAAGAAATACTACGATGTGTCCCACCACGACCGGGAGTTTGCCGTCGGGGATTGGGTATGGTTGCGCCTGCTCCACCGCGCTGCCCAGTCCCTCGAGCCTCGCGCCAAAGGGAAGCTTGGCCCTCGCTACGCCTGTCCGTTCCAAGAGCTAGAGCGCATCGGCCAGGTGGCGTACCGTCTATAGCTTCTGGAGGGCGCCCGTTTGCATGATGTCTTCCATGTGGGGCTGCTAAAGCCCCACAAAGGTGATCCCCTAGCGGCGCCTGCTCCTCTGCCACCGACATCGGATGGCCGGCTGCTTCCAGCTCCGGAGCACGCCCTTCGTGCACAACTTCGGCGAGATGTGTGGCACGTGCTTGTCAAATGGCGCGGCCTGTCAGCGGAGGACGCAACATGGGATCTGCTCTAGCATCTTCGCGACATCTACCCCGACTTCCAGCTCAAGGACGAGCTGTTTGTGCAGGCGGGGAGAGATGTTATGACCGACATCCCCTATGCCAGGCATAGGCACAATGGTGGCTAGGGGGCCGACTCTGTTTAGGGGCTTAGAGGCCTAATTTATCGCTTATTTGGTATTTTCTTAGAGATAAATATAGTTCCTTAATTATAGCATCTATAGGGAAGGATAAATACTTGTAATCTGGGATGATTGGAAAATAAGCAGCAACAACTTTAATTTGTTGCCGGCTTCCCTAGGAAGCCCTAGCCGCACCCCTCTGTCCTCCCTGTGCCGTGACCACGGCGCCCGTTCATCGTCCTCGTTTCCCTAGGCTTCGTCCACCGATCTCTCACCCCTACACCCTACGCAACAAGCCTGGTAGGATCCGCAATCCTATCATACACTTTCTAGAATATACCTCCCATGTATAAAAACACTTTGGTGAGGTGACACTAGTCTATTCACTACTTTACTTAATCTAAGAGTAAAAACTTTAGAATTTTTTTTGAAACTGCAATTAATAAGGCTGATTGGTCTAAATTTTTTCATGCTCCTAGCACCTTCTTTCTTAGGAATCAAACTAATCATGGCAAAGTTCAACCTATACAGATCCAGTTCCCCACTAAAAAACTCATTGAACATATTCACTAAATCACCTTTAACAAGATCCCAAAATTTATGGTAAAACACAATAGATATCCCATCAGGGCCAGGAGCCCCTTCAGCATAACAACTAAAAACAGCTTCTTGGATCTCTAACTCAGTAAAGGGAGCTGTAAGCACATTAT